ATATATACAAATCTATAAACAAACAAACGACATGCTTTTTAAGTAAGTACATAAAGCACCGTCTGTCTCCGCCACCCACCTCTATGGTTAGCCTGTGCAAAGCGTGGATTGTTGTATTAAAAAAGCCCCCAAAGCTAGCACCACGCTGCATAACTGTACGGTATTACACGCTAAAACAATTGAGTGATCGCAGTGATAATAAATTATGGTATTTACGACTCAGATCAAATTGCTGGGCGATTTTATAGTCATTAAGACTATTATTGCTTAAAATCAATAGGTAAAATTGATAATAAAACTCTTATTAATAAACGTTTTTGTCTGCTCTGAAATCTGTCTATTAGATTGTCTCTTGTCGTCGCAAAAAAACAAACAAACAAGCAAACCAAGCGAAAACGCAAAACAAACTCACAAAAATCAAAGCAAAAACAAAAACAAAAATCAAAAACATTTAGGGTGTTATATAAAAGACCAGGCTGCGTCTTCAGTTCAGAGCAAGCGACTGCTGGTACCGCCTCTGTAGTGTGTGGCTGTCTGGGACGAGAACCAAGCTGAGTAAGTTCTGGCCATGTTAGCCTCCCCGCAGAGAGGACTCCTACATAATATTATTTATTTCGTTATTTATTTATTTATTTATGTATTTATTCATTTATTTATTTATTTATTTATGTATCATTTACTTCTTTCTTCATTCATTCATTCATTCATTCATTTATTCATTCATTCATTCATTCATTTATTCATTTATTCTTTTATTCATTTATTTATTCATTCTCATGCTTTCATTCATTTCTTCGTTCATTCATTCATGCATCCGTTTATCTAATTATTTATTTATCTATTTATTTATCAATGTATTTCTCTATTTACCGTTTAGGAGTCGCTAGACATAGTTTTGAACAGCTTGAAGAACTTAGGCAAGGGCCAAGCAATACGTTGTCTCGCTGTTAGACCCAGCACATAGATCTAGAGGGTTCCAAGAAAACTCGTTCACTTTATTTATTTTTGGGGACATTTAAAGAATTGGGTTTTAAGCTCCGGTACAGCTTTGGTAGATAAAAGGAGACTTCTTTTCAGAATTACTTTATATGATACATTAAATTGTTAAGTTGTGCAAAATTTTGTTCAATCAAAATTACAACCCCAAAGGTTGTTCGTTTTAAAAAGTGAATTTACTCGTAATATTGCTTCCTTCTATGTTAAAATAATATTAGTATGTAGATAGTTTACATTATTGTCATATATTGTTATACATGTATATCAAAAGCGAACCTCAGTACCCCTGGCTTGATCTTTCACGGGTCTTTCACTTGTCAATTCTGCCTCTCATTATACTGCCACTGTTTGGCTATCGTTGTCATGTCACAGCAAAAGACAAGAATGTGGGCGACTGCGGGTGGTCTAGTGTGGTTTGCTCTTTCTTTCCTATTAAACATCTGTCGTCCTCATCTCTCCTTCTTCTTCTTTTTTTTTGTATGTTACTCACTCGTTACACCTCTATTCTTCTGCACTTGTATGACCTCATAGTGTTGCAAATACCATAAATCTCGTACTAAAACTAGAAAAGAGAGGAACGAAGAAAACTATACAGATGTTTATGCACTAAAGGGACGAGTTGATAACTTTTTAAAGAAACTAGAAGAAAAATACGCGCGCTCGTGTGACCTTATGTAGTTGTGAGTGCCGTAAAACTCTTACTACATTGAGAGGAAAACCTTACAAAAGGACGAAGGAAATCAGCATTTTCCTTTATATTCTGTGGTTGGGGCTTTGTAATTTTTTGAACTGGTCAGTTGTAAGCATTATTCTAACATACTATATCTCTCCAACCCTAACGAAAACGAGTAGTTATTGTTTTTAAGAAAAATAAATCAATAGTGACGCGTTTAAATGCTTTGCTTTTACTTGATCATCCTCTGTTGCCGTTATGCGTAACGGGTCATGCAGTTTTCAATCGGGACGTTTTAAGTGCTCACGGTTCATTTGTCTCCCACAATCCATCGTTTGCGAGGCCTACTTTTTCATTTATTGCTTGAGTACTTTGTGTCATAGACTCTTGAGGCTGATTGGTTACGTTACATTCGTAAAAGGTGGCCAAATTATTTTATTATCTGTTTTTCTGGGAAATACAGGCAAGATTCAGTGCCAAATATTTTTGTTATAAAATATTCTTGTTCTATACAGTGCAGGCTAAA